AGAAATTTTATTATTTCATGTTCATTTCAATTCTAAAAAAAATGTCTTATATAATTATTTATTTATATTGCATGTCATTAAATGAAAAATTATGTTCATTTAAATGTACATGTGAATGATGAATATTTGGCTTTAAATTATTATGACACTAAGGATATTTATCTATTATCATGTTAATATGAATGTATATGAAAATGTGAAATATATATATATATATATATATAGAAAGAGGAAGTGGATTTGGATGTGTATATGTTTGAAAATGTATATATGATGTAAAATATATAAAGATATATGAAAGATTTATAATATGTAAATGAAAGCATAAATGAAAAAGGGAAAATATATATGCATGCAAAGTACATGAGTTCAATCCCGTATGGTATTTGGTGGAGAAGTAACATACCCATGCAAGATAAATGAAAATGAAAAAGGAAATGATGGTGGTGCTCATGTACTAATTGAAATGAAAAATGAATAAATACCAAATATATATGAAATGTATAAATAAATAAATAAATGAAATAGAAAATGATATGAAATGTATATGTATATTAAATATGTATAATAAATGATATAAGAATATACATATCAAGTGTCATATAAGTTTTAATATTGTATAAGATATGAGAAAAAGAACATGCATTGTATCTTATATATGTTTTAAGATTATTTTAGCAACCATAATTATCCACTGAGTTTACCATGTAAACTCAACCCATTAAAATGACATTTTCAGGTAAGTCTCCAGAGAAATAGAAATGGCTAAAAGGGAGGAGTATGTCTATAGAAGACGGCACGTAAATGAAAACAGGTAATATATGATTGATGTAAATATTTAGATTGAAAAATGGTATCAATAGTTTTAGAGTAATTATGTGATAATGGCTCTTCAGTTTTATTTGAGAAGTTGAATATAATTTTTTTTATGAAATTGAATGAAATGTTACACATGTTCAACTTTTCATTCCCGCCTCGTTAATTCGAGTATCTAGGTCGGGTCATGACGCGTAGGTTCCACCACAACACTATATTGCATCCCTCTTTCGCAAGCGTGCTTTTGGCCATCGAGCGCTCATGCTAGCCCTCCTTGTGATTGTGCATGCCTCGAAGACTTTCCATCCCTTACAACCGTCACTACTCCCTCTCGCCTACTTTTGAGACAATGCTAATTGCCTTCCCTCAATCATCAATCATAAGTAAATCTACTTTGTTGTACAATCATGTTGTGTGCATCCCATTGCACAGAACCTGCTCCCGATGAGCTTATTTCCACATATAGACCTAGCTTATTACAACCATTATTGTAATGAGCCCTTTGCATGCGCCTACTTAAGAACCCATGATCTCCTGGCCTCCAAAATGCCACCACCTAAAGCGCTAAAATTATAGTATAGTCAAAGCCACCGCTCACCCACCACAATAACCATGCAGTACAATTGTTCAGTGCACACCTCACCAGCCTTCCCTATTCAAGTTACATCTAAGGTCAATTTAATAAAATTCATGAAACTTTTAAGCGTCCAAAAATATCTACATTGAATTTTGCTAGTGTTTTGAAGGATCTAAGGAAAGTTTCTTCTATTGTTATTAATGGTTTGAATTTTTCTCCATCTATTTACCTGGGATAAATTTTTCCTTCAGGTCTATACCTAGATCTATTTAACCTTCCTCTATCTTCTCGAAATGGATATTACCAAGATGTTAGTATAGTTGATGGCTTTCAACTTCTCCTCCAATAACATTACAATTATTTGAAATAGTTTTCTCAACCATAGGAGAATTGATACAAGATAATTAGTTGTTTCAATTTAATTGATATTTTTTAGTTTTAATTGCCAAACTTTGCATTTATATAAGAAAACATTTTGACCTAGGATTCCATTTATTGAATGTTAAATAATTTTTTTAGATTTCACGTCTCCTCTCTTGAAGTCATCGGCACTTGCTCTGACTCTTTCGTCTCTCTCTATCTTCTCGCTTATCTCCTATCTCCATTAATGCATAAGTCATTATGTTGAATAATTAAATCATTTGAATTTTTTTTCCAACAGATCATAATTCATATGAAAACAATTCATATTTGTGTGGTTTACTAGTTATCAAAAGAAAATTGTATGGAATCTTCTAAATCTTTATTTTAATTTTTCTCCATCCTTTTTCACTTGGAATCATCTATAACATATCCATTAGAGGCATAGAAGCATCCCCTATAAGCACTGCATACTACTACATTACATATTTTGTATGCATGCTTGCATGAAAATATTTCTTGGAAGCTTGCTATTAGCTAAAATGAGTATAAAGTCTTCAATATATGTGAAATGAAGATATGTGAAATTCAAAGTCATAACCCTATCATCCATCCGTCTAGGTAGATAAAGATTCATGTAAGAAACTCTCAAGAAATTAACTCAAGAAAGAAAGGAATATATGAAGTCATGAAACTATTGATATATGCATACAAATAGAAATCCCGAAAAAAAAAGGGTGTTAGTCTACTTATTAATGCATCTAAGCTTCATTCAATGAACCATTAACCAATATTTTGAATTATTGCTTTTTTAAGCTTTCATTATATCATATGAACATTTTTCATACAATCATACTAATCTAATTCTTGATGCTATTATTGACAATGAGATAATATTTAATATTATGCCAGGTATCAAATTTACCTTGTGAAATGGAAAGATAAGATGGCATGTGATTATTTATATATCTCTCTAAAGAGAATCAAAATATTATGCCCAATCTATTAGAATAGCAATAAACAATTTTCCAGAGCCAAGTTTTCCAAAATAAATAGATTTGATGTGGCCTACTATTCCTAAGTCAGGTCTGGTATTTTATTTTAGTTGGGCTTACAACTACCCTATATTCCATTCCATGCGTTCTTTGAGGCTCCCATTATCCATGATTTCTATTTTATGGCCTTATGTGCTACTTAGCACCATTAACTTCACAAAAATCAAACAAAGATCAATTTTCTATAGCAGGACATAAACAAAGCATTATTGCATAGAAGATAAAAAAAAAAAAAAACAATGTTTAGAAATAAATTCATTGCTCAAATAAGAACATTATTTGTAAAAAAATCACTACATGAAAATGTTACTAGACAACATAGAAGGTTGCTACTTTCATGTTTGATTCATTTCCTCAACACTCTTTCTTTCCATCTGAATATATAACTCCTCTAAAAGTGTGTAAAGGGTCACCCACCCAAAACTAATAGGAGCCTAAATAGGTAGAATTATATTGTAGAGTGCTACCTATAAAACTACACTTCTATATTATCCTATCGAATAGTAAGCATTTATTCTTCAAATGATGCTATGGGCACTTCATTCTCTTTCGAATCAAACTTTTCTTGTAATAATGTTCGGCTCCTATTTTATCCAACAATACAATTCAAATCCTAGATAAAAAGATTGAAGAATGTAGATGCCTCGTCTTCATTGAAAGAAATGAAGTTGGTCTATAGTGGTGTTCCATGGGAGTAAATAGCTTTTCCATAAATTAAATAAGCTTTGAAGGCCATTAAGAGTTCCATGTTGTATAGTTTCCTTTGGAATACTTTATAGAATTCTTTTCTTTCCTCATGTAATATGTTGTGCACACGCCCTTATTACAACTAGTCATTACCACAAGGTGGAAGATGCATTCTTTTGTCTTTGAGCCACCTTGTCAACTAAGAATTCAAATTTTTTATCTCTTCTACTCTTTCTTACTTTAGTTGAATGGGAAGGGGACCATTTAATGTTTGAGCATTGTTCTTTCTCTTTGAAAGTTGAAACATTAATTCTTCTTAAATAATACATACACTTAAAAGAATGAGAAAAGGCTTGATTTACTTATGACCTAAGATTGTGTTGTTATGAATGAACTGATTAATTTGAATACACTCCTCTTTTTTGTGAAACTTGATGGGTAAATTACCCAACACAATTAACTGAGGAAACCAGTTGTTAAACCCAAAAATTTGATTCAAGATCTTTTTTCTTTAATTCTGCCTACTTCAAGCAAGAATTTACAGCAAGATTTAATCGCCTCTCCATAGTTTCATTTCATTTGGTCTTCTCAATATGTCTACCAATATCCAATTTATTATACCACATTTAGATACATCCAAATGAATTTCCACCTGTAAAAAAAATCACTAAAATATCAATCCTAGTCTTTCATAGAGTGATAGAGCTACTCATTCAATGTTGATATAAAACAAATAATTTCCTTGGATCATATATGGTAGCTTCCTGCTATAGTCCTTCAAAACTTAAGCTAATTCTCAAACATGAAGAGCTCATATTCTCAAATAAGACCACTTCTCCCATTAAGATAAAGGCATTAAAGAATGCATACAATACTAGGATCGCAAATCTTAAGAGACTCAACATAAACACCTAGAAAGAGTATGCTAAAAGTTGGTCTTCTATCAACATTCACTACCTTATTTAACTGTCAAATACTCCACCTGCATGATTATGTTTTTATTACTACCAAGAAACAAGAATTATTAGGTTTGGATTTGTGAAACATCATTTTCAACATAAACTAATAAAATTTTCCAACACAATCAACAGATCAACCCTAAAGTCCAAAACTAAATCCCCGATATCAACAAATCAGGCATAACCAGGTTCACTTTTCTAGCTAAGAATGTACTTTATCGTATAATCACTACCTTTAAATTTAAAACCCAGAAATAAAAATAACTGGAAAATAATTTGGTACATTTTGCTCCTATTTTATGGTAATAGCAAAGAAAAATATCGTATACTGCCTTCAATACTATAACCATTTGGCCACAGTTATCTAATGCATGGCCAATATCTTCACAGCTATCTAATGTATGGCCAAAATCTTCACAGAACATGAACAGAAATTCTACATTGCAAGATCATCGACATCAAGAAAGAAATATCAAAAACCCAAGGGGTCCGTAGACCTAGAGCCTCAGCACCTATAAAAAAACATTTCTTCTTAATTAAGCTTACTCGGGAAAGTTGTCCAGAAGGATTTCTACGGAGTCATCCAGCGGCCGACCAAGTTTCTTCTCCTCCTCTTCCTCCATCTCCTTCAGCCATAAAATAGCATGTACCCTTTGCCTCATAATCCTGAAATCCTTCGCCAGCCTCTCAACATTATACACCTCCGGATTCTCCTTATGAAGCCTGTACATCTCCGCCTTCTCAGAATCTTTTAAATACGATCCCCTCACCCCCGGCTCCCTCACCTGCTTCAGAAATTGACAAGTCTCTATCATACGATCCTTCCAACCATCCACGAACGCCTTATCCTTCTTATTATCCTTCTCCACCATTCTCAGAAACTCGTCCAAGTCGTCCATCCGCGCGGCTTCCTCCATGGCCGTCGATTTTCCCGTCTGCGGCGGAGGAGATTGCCCGGGGACGAGCTGACGGCCGACGGCTTCCCCATCGAAATGGTCCTTCGTCAAGCCAGTCGACCACGAGGATGCCTCGCCCCAGTCGAAGCTGGAGAGAGGTTCTGAACCACCTTCCGGGGGGGTCTGGCCAGAGGAATTCCAGGACTTATCCCAAGAGTCATCTTTTGACCCTCCGGCACCGGAACCAGAAGAGAAGGTTCGGAAGGGTATCGAAGAGGAAACCCAATGATTCGGCGTAGGTAGGCGACGAGAGAGCCGGAGGTTCAGGAGGCCTCGAATTACTGGAAGCATTTCGTATTGATCTTGGTACCAGTGCTGATGTGAGCGAGGATGAGTCAAGGAGTTCTGCAGCACTCGCCCGCCATGGGTACGGTGGTGGTGCTGGGAGGACAGACTTCTGGGAAATAGGGTTCTCAGTTCTGGCGTTCCGGGGTTAGGGGTGTCGGGCCGGGATCCGATCCGAAAATTCGGGTTGGGGTGAACCGTTTGTCAAATGGATAAGATTCGGATTTCATTTTTCAAACCGTTTGTAAAATCATGTTGGGTTCGGGTTGACTCAAAAAATTTGAAATCAATCCTAGTTGACCCAGAAACTCGCACCCTGCCCGCGTTGTTCCTGGATTCCACAGTCTGCACCTAGTAGGCAACCTCCCAGACAGCCAGCATCCACCACGCTGGTGCGTTCACCTCAAGTTCGGAATCCGCATTGCGTTGGCGCGCTCGCCTCATGTCTAGACCCCGCTTCGCCTCGAGTCCAAACCCTGCCTGCACCTTAGTCCACCCGCCACGCCTACAAAATGCAATCCAGCACCCAATCTCCGTCGTACCGCGCTCGAGTTCAGCTTCACGGGTCAGGTCAACCAAGTAACTTGGTGGGTCGGGTCTAAATCTGAAATTCTAACCCATTTATAAAAAGCAGGTTGGGTTCGAGTCAACTCATTTAGAGTGGTCAATTCCAAGTTTGACATGAACCGAACCTGAAAATTCATTTTGGCACCCCTATTGACACCCCTATTCGGGGTAAATCTACTAGACCATAGGCACTTCTCATAATCCATAATATTGGTGTTAAGGCTTCTTTGGGTAGGTTTTCTTATTATTATTAAAGCAATTTTTTTAGTATAAAAATTAATTTTTTACATTCAAAAGTTGTTTCAAGAAGCAACAAAAAAATAGTCCCAAACAACGCTTATGAACGCAAAAATAATCAAAAAAATTTATCGCCCCATGCTTATAAATAAGATTGGATTTAGAATTGTGTAAATATCTCAAATCTCATGATGAGGATGCCCTATCCACCTCCCCTCTCTGGATCCCTTGCTCTCTCTCCTCCTTCGGCGTTGCCAAGGAGCTCTTCCTTTACTATCCCATGGATCCTTCGTAACTATGAATTTCCCATTCTTTCAAACTCAGCCCCGAATACTTCGTGACCTAATTTCTCTTCTTTTAACTGAAAATGTCTCCTTTACTCTTGAATTTCTTTCGCAAATGACCTTCCCCTTTCCTCCTTCCCTTCTCATCAGGAGGTTATCTTATTTTCTCAGAAAGAAGTTTATGTTGTTTCAGAATATTAGAACCTTTCATTGGTTGCCTATTTGATTGGGCGTAGGCCTTACTATGAAGTCCTTCTAGCTACTCTTGTCCTTTAGTGTTTATTTTTTCCTACTCAAGTTTTCCACGCCGAAAAATTTGATATGACATGGTCTAGGGGTGTCTGGTTTTTCCTTGGTAAGTTATTTACCCTCCAAAGGTGGAACCCTCATTTTCAGTCCAAATGCGATGATTTCATATTCGTTCCCAAATGGTTGAAAATTCATGATCTCCCCTTTTGTTGTTGATCCTTAGAAGGAATTTTTAGGATTGCAAGTAAAATTGGAAGTCCCCTTCATGTTGATGCTCTCATAACAAATAAATCTTGCCTCACATATGTGCGTGTATGTATTTAGGTCATGAATAAAACATCATATTCGGATGGGATTCCTATTTCTCTATCGGGGAAAATTATGAACCTGAATATTCAATACTAATGGAGGCATTCCCAGTGTGAAAGTTGTCATTCTCTTGCTCAACTTCTTGTCATGTGTCCTTCTAAACCATACACAACTTCTCTTATAGTTCGTCCTCCAAATGGTCGTAGCATGAGTCAAAAACCTAGAGTACATCCTCAATATATTAATCAAAGATCAAACACTACAACTAGCACTATATAGTATTGCTCATATAGTCCCCTGCCCTTCAATCTTCCTCGACTATCTTGCTCTTAAATTAGTTCTTCCTATCTGTGCACAATCAACTGTCTACATCAAAAAGATTGCCCTGTCATAAGATAGCACTGACCTTCATGCCTCTTTCCATAATGAATACAGGCACTGTAGCTTCCAGTAGATGTTATCGATTCCCTCGAATCATTGCATCTATTTTTCTTATTACTAGCATTTCGCTGTCCATACTTATTTCATCTCTAGTCCTCCTACTGACATTGTACATGGAGCTCTAAATGTGGGTACTGTCAAATCAATCTCTATTAATTTGGCTCAATCCACTAACTCATAAAATATTTGAATCCACTAAGGCGCTAATGGATATATCACATCTCCTTGTTCAACCATTGTAGAAACTTATAGAACTTTTCTTTAGCAATGGAGATCAAGTGAGAAGCATACTTAACAAGAGCAGTAAACTCAACCCTAAACCCTAAACTTAATAAAATTATATTCCATAAAATTAATTGATGAATTCAATTAATTACGAATAATTGAATTAATATTTTAGGAATTATAGAAATTTTGTGAAAAATTAGCAACAACATTCTGAAGCGAGATATTTATGAGTACTACACAGATATGGGTATACATAGACAATTCAAATGCTATGCTAATCATCACCTTTTTTTTTTCATATTTTGGTCAAGTAGAGAAGATGCTACAGAGACAAAATTAGTACATTTATATAAAATTTTTTAGAGTATCTGCACTACGTAAAAAATTTATCCATAATAATATATTTTCCCTCAAGAAAAATATACTCTTAACCAGATGGATAAAATATGCTTGAGATGGTCTTAATCTGAACAATAATTTATATATTTATGATGGCCTAAAATGTGATATATCATTATTGTACACAAAAGTTAATAAGATGGGCTATAATCTTGCTGCAAAAATTGGATTCGAGTTTTGAAATTTTGAGAATGCTTGAAAATTTGTTTTAGAACCTTTTAGTGCAAATAGATAAAACAATACAGAAATAGAATTTGAACAAAATATTACAGAAGAAACCAAAAGATTGTGAGAATGATCTAAAATACAATTTATAAAAGTGACTAATCTATTGTCACACTTCCTCTTTCCAAAGTCAAGCCATCGAATGGAAGTCTCTCTCCATTAGTATCAGATCCTTAATGAAGAAACCAACCATCTTTACAGTCCATTTCACAACCATAAGAACAAGTGCTCATACATCTTCTTTTACTCAAAAGCTCCATCATTCTTACTCCTTCCTGTGCATGCAACTTGGTTTTCCCAAAGCCAAGCCATCGAAGGCCCTGAAAGTAGGGATGGGAAAAAAGCTCAATTGAATCACTTGACAATCGACTGCATCCATAAATATCAAGTCTTTTGATTGATCTTCTTCTGCCTTCTATATCTGGCATCAAGCCAAGAGCTCTGATAGATGCATCAGTAACAAAGAAACAGCTCCTGATGCAGAGATTTGTAATTTCCCTGCACATCTTCACAATCCGAGCTACTGTTTCATCTGATACACCAGGCAAGTAACCCAAGTCAAGCTTCGACAGAGTTTCAGTGATAACACTACCCTTTTTAAAAAGCTTTTTGAAGCCTCGGTCGCCAACCCTTCTGCAGCCGCGAAGACACAAAGTAACAATTGGAGATCGACCGAGGCCGAGGGCTGACAAACCACTATCAGTAATATCAGCTCCACTGAGATCAAGGGAAGTGAGCTTACGAAGAATTGAAATTGAATTCAACCCACGATCAGCAATGCTTTTGCAACCCCCAAGGTCCAGCAACTCCAAGTTCTTGCACAATGATAAAGATTCTGCAGTTTCGCTGGTTAGAAGATGGCAGGATATCAACACTACCTCAACAAGAGAGCCTGATAAAAAGGAAAGATCATGAAAAGCCAAATCCGACAATAAATAGCCGTTGATGACTTCAAACCTTTTCAGGTTTTTGAAGGACTGTAGAATGGATATATAACCAGCATCTGTCACTTTGGAGAATCCTTCCAGCCTTATTGATTCAAGTCCTCTCAATCCCTCGGTCAGGACTAGAATACCAATATCAGTTACTCTCCCGAAAACATTTGGTCGGCTCCTTGAGAGAGAGAGACGTCTCAGATTTTTTCTGGAGCTTAGTAACTGAAGCCCAGCATTTGAAAAGTCATTATACGGTGATAGTTTTTCTAATGGATTGTCTTCCAGACACAGAACAGTCAAATAATGCAGATAATTTGTGATGGCTGCAACAAGTTCATCAGTAATAACATCCAGAACAAGAGTCAGTGACTGCAGCATAAGACAAGAAGGCTGAACATCGATTGATAAAGGGAGATTTTCAACAAAACCAAGTTGGTTCATCAAAATGAGCGTTGTAGCTTCCCAGTTAGTGACAGGTTGTAATAGCAAAGCTTTGAGAGTTTTTGGAAGAAGAAGCTGGATGGTGTCAGATCGACCATGGAGATTATATGGGGTATAGAACTTTATACTTAGAGACTGAACACAGTAACATAAGCAAACAAATTAATAAATCATAATTTCATAGAAGCAGTTCTAATGAATTTTCTGAAATTTACCTCTAAGTGCGGGCATCCCTTGAACATATTTTCCAAGGACTTGTTGCAGTTACGAACAAAGACAGATTCATCACCATATACCAATTCCAAACTTAGTGTTCTGAAATGAAGCAGACGATAATATATCTGAATCCATCCGTACGCGCACAGTAGATGCAAGAAAATTGAATGGATGATTGCATTAAGCTAAACAATCTTCACAATCATCAAAAGCCTAATCATGGTCGGCGGTCAGGGAGTAGGCATGTGATGTACCGAACAAAGAATACATTGAAATTTATAGCAAGTGAATATTGGACCGGATTCACTAGAACATCAAGGATCAAGGGATCAAGAACATCTTTATTAAAGGAAATTCATAGCAAGGTGGGATCTTAAGTTAGGTTTTTAAGTGTAAAATTTCTATTCAAGTCACAAGAGGCTATGGTTGGCGAAGGTTCTTGAATTGTTTTAAATTCTAGTTCAAGTCTCTCGTAGTACTTGTCATGTTAGTCAGAAATCAAGTATATTAGATCTAGACTTACAAGTTGTATAGATGAAGGCTGATAAAGCCAAAGGTAATGAAAAGGAAACTAAGTAGAATAAGCATTAAACAGTACTATATATTCATTAAAAGCAACTACACGTGTATATATATCAGTAAAATAGTCCTAAAGAAAGATGGCTTGGACGGTGTAGATGAGCTCAGCCAAAAGGTGAGATTGAAGGACAGAGAGCGCAGAGAATTTTAATCATGAGTGTGAAATGCTCATCCTCTGCAATGCCCTTTTCCTCAAAACACTTCAGCTCTCCTTCCTATTAGTCAACGTCTTCTTCATCACCATCCTACTATGCTCACATCGCCAAGCAGGTCTAGGTGCCAACCACTGCACAGTTGCCGCTGCCGTCCAGGAAGCCGAACCCCTTTATCACTGTTCTTCTTCCTTCCGTTCAGCTGACCAAGCCATTTGTGTGGCTCTCTTCACTTTATGGCGGGCCAGTGGGGGCACATGCCCCCAGTGCCCCCACCGTGGCTCCGCCCCTGCTTACAACATGAATTTGGGAAGTGCTTTGTTAATATATGGATATAAAATGGTATCAGAACCGTCCGGCCTAAGAAATCATCATAGCAAACTTGGAAAGAGAAATGCATCAATTGCATCTTGCAGTATGTGAGAGGTGGGAACGTGAGGTGCATGCTCTCAACTCTGATGACAAGAAAGAAAAAGTGGGAGATAGAGAACCCTTCTATCAAGTGTTCCAAGAATCATTAAAAAAAAAAGGAATCTTACATAAGATTTCCAAGAAAATGGTATCAAGATCACAGGGGAAGCAATATATTTCAAATTTTGAAGGCAGGTTAAATCTAGATTATTTTATTGATCGATTACAAGTGTTCTAGTGTATCTTTGATTATAAGGAAGCAATAATTGGTAGGTGAGTTAAGTTTTACACTAAATTAAAAAAGAATGCTTCCATTTAGTGGTGTAATTGCAACAATATTATAAATTTTTTTTTTAATGTTGACAAGCTAGTCTCAAGGGTGCAGAAACAACCATATAACAATTGCTTTCCACCGAGATGAGTGCAAGAACCATAGGTTACCATACAAAACTGACAATGAAGCTTGTGAAGGGATGAATTGTTTCCCACCCCAAAATGTTCCGTTTGACAATCTCACACAACTAAGAACAACAAAAGCAAGTACCATCACTAATAAGAGCCAACTTATCAAATGTTTTGGGCTCAATCATATTGCATCAAATTGTCTCAACTTTTAAGTTATTTAGCTAGTAGAAGAATCACCGCAAGAAAATAAAGACCAAGTTGTGGGCTCCGAAAATCGCGCCCAGCCTCTCTGCGACCCCTTTTTTTTTTTATTTCAGTCGAGGAGAGTTTTAACGAGTTTATGTTTCGGGGTAAATTTTTATAAGGCAGATTGGGTTTTACGATAACGAGAGAGAACTTTCGATTAAGGCTAGATGTTGAACAAATACTTAGTATCCAACGTATAGTAGCAACATAATTTGATATTGAAAATTAATTTTATCATTGATCACTTAAAGTGGTTTGGGGGTGGGGGGAATGATGATGAACCCAATCAAGATATCATGGTTTCATCGTCCCGGGTCATCATGATCCCTAGTCTACTTAATCAAAGGACGTAGTCGATCCGACCTGACCGAATGATCTTTGTCAACAGTCATGGATTGATTTATACAATTGTACCATATAGACTTGGGATAAATGTTTGTCTAAGAAGACATATTTAAGTCCATCTTAGCTAACAAAGGAATTTGCAACCTATCGATTATACCTTACTGCTTCATTACTCAAGGATTTAAAGCCGTTGGAAACATATAGCCTCTGGTCCTAACCGTAATTTAGTGATACCATTTGGCGGCAAAATCACCCGATCATAACCATTTACATGTGGTGTCATTTGACGGTAAAATGCTGGCTATAGGACACATGCCACATCTTAAATGGCAAGAGATGATTTAAGAATGAATCCTAGTGATATTCTCGACTAAACATCTTCTAATGATGATATTACTATTATCTCTCCAATAAAATCATTCCCCAATCTATCCTACATACCTACTTTCATCATGTAACAAACTTAGTATTATCATTTTTGCAACCCATAACTTTGATATGGATAACTTTTTGTTATATATAAGTCTCCATAACAATATATTAAGTCGTGATACTCCAAATGAACTTACTATGTATACTCATTCGCATATATATATATATATATATATATATATATTCTAGTAATATTGATTGATAATTATTTATATCATACCTAATAATATTGAACATTATACACTGAATCTTTGTTCTTATAATTCTAAACCCTTTTCAAGAATCATCATCGTCATCATCCATCTTTTTTGAGATTTTCTTTATAAATCCACTGTCTATATTAATCCTTGTAGAATGTCACAAGCAAGACTAATTCTAATTTAAACTAACTTTTTTACCATTTCCAACCACATAACCTCTAGTCTACTGCTTTCTCCTTGAGATTCCATAAATTAATTCTACCAACCCACGCTATTAATGCATCTTACTCTCCATTACTCAAGCTCACACCACAAAGCCCTTGCTCGTTATTTTTTTTTTCTAGAACAATACTCAAAATCATAGAACATAACCCAACCATACTGCCATTTATAAAATTTACCTTCTACATAATATTTTTATATCACATGAAATCTTAGAAAATTTTTCATTTTAACCACTCAATTTAATTCAATAAAATTATCCTAATTTACATTATCATTCTTTTGTGAAATCTAGCACACTTGGTAGCAATGTACCTTGGTATTCACTAATATATTTTCCATATTTGTATCAAATTGACTTGTAGGAATATAAGATGTAACACTTAATTAGTGCTTTCATGTTTTTTTTTTTTTTTCATCCAAAAAGGATTCCTCCATTACCATATAAGCCATGATCATTCAAAAAGAGATAACGTATCGTACATAAACAGAGCCTTTTGCATGTAGTCCATTTTTTGAAGAAAACCTTCTTTTTTTTTTTTAATGCCAGCTAAGCTAAAGAATTCTTCAAACACGTACCAGATATTCTTTATAGTTTTCTTCAAAAATCTACCTACTTTGGAGCAATTCAAAGGCATGTAAGAAATTGGGTCAACATCCTTAACAGTTAGGATAACGCTATTGAATATGAAAATGAGAAAAAAGTAAATGTAAAATTTTATCAACATCTAGCATTACAAAATAAGAGCTTGATCTTATGACTTGCTTATCTTTAGTTTTCCTTCAAAGATTTTCTTTTTAGGAACTGGCAACCTCTTGAAAAATAGTAAAATCACCAATAACTAGAGCAATCAAGAGACCATATTTACTAGTTGGATTTGCCATTGGTCGTGTCTTTAATCAGTACTATGGCCCTCACAAGATGTAACTTGAAAAGAAAAATCAAGTCATATTCCGAATTTGTAGGGCTTTCCACATTTATAAGAATTCATCCAAGCTTGCTAACAGTAACTTGGGCACGCCTTGCTGAAATGCTTTCCAAATTTTGTTAAATTCAAACCTCTATCATACTATTCTACTTTTAGCTACAGGAGCATGATGGATAAGCATTTACTTTCATCACTTTCCCAAACTGTAAATGGAGCTTTTAAGCCCAGCTTTAAGAGAATGATCTGTTGGGAAATTACTTGTTCAAGATCAAGTTAGTTGAACATGGTCCAATCAAAATGATTTTTCTAGTTACATTATACATTTAATTAATGTGTATTTAACTAAGATACCCTAAATTGAGCTTAGTATGAAATGAGAGTTAAGATGGAAGTACGATAAAATTATGATAAACAATTATGATAGACAAATGGAGAAATTGGAGCAACATCTACTGAAGATAAGCCAGTGAAAAATATAATTAGGTGATTTGTACATGTACATTGAAGGGTAAAAAATGCAATAATAAAATAGAAAAAAACTAATGTCAAAGTATTAGGAAACAAAGAGGTAGATTGAAGATAACATGAATAAAATAGTGCAGAGTATTTCCTCAAAATATGTTCAACACCTCATGCAATGCTCAACAAAAATGAACAAAAATAAATGAAAAATGATGATTCTTAAAGCAAACTCCAAAAAGTTTTTTATATAAGATTATGATAATAAATAAAATACACTATAATTTAACACATTAAAGCATCGCAACACAGTCAGTTTTCTAAACCTTTCCAGATGATCATGAAGAATAAAAATTGTCATCATTGTTTCTTCAACATCAACAACATCAAGCCTTTATGACATTATGTGAGGTCGGCTACATGAATCATTTTTCTCCATTGTGTCATCATTGTTTCTTCAATCACCAAAAATATGACTAATCACAAGTATATGAAATATGACTAATCACAAGTATATGTTCCTGTGTCTAATATAAGATGAAGGATCGCCTTGCTATAAAACCATGAATAAGTGCAACGAGCAATCAAGCATATCTAACAGAACAGAAATCCAAAAAAACAAGCTTTGAACCCATTTTTGAAAGCACTTCCTATAGTAGCCTTTGAAAATAAATAATTTGCTAGCAATGATTGCATAATAGGGATATTATATGATAAAATGTCTTGCCGCACATGTCTCTCACTTAAACTCAGATCTCCTGATATGGAGTAGAAAAATGTCGAAAGTTCAACAAAGGATCAATATAAAGTTGTCAACTTTGAAGTGATAGTGTCTCCATACCTCAAATTTAAGCAACTTTGACCAATTTGACGAAATATAGAAGAGATGAAGTGAAAGCCCTTCAGTAACACAAGTTCTTCTAGGTGTTGTTTTGTAAAAATGCTGACTGAAGAATAATCAAGCTGGTGACAATTTAGAGTTAGGCTTCGGAGACCATAACTATTACTCAAAACTCTGTTTAGAATCTGTGTCGTAGGAGTAAACCCCTGAAATATCCGTGGTTAAACTCAATATTAAAAAATAAGCAAGGTCTAATAAGGTGCCTCAGAATGAAACATGCTTTCATGCTCAGATAAAATATGAATTTAAAATAATCTGCATGCAGATAAAAAGAGCAAAGTACATTAACAGTGATACACCCAACTACATACATTAAGTTGCAAAATTGTATGCTTGATGTAGAAATTTAAAATTAAACTTCTTTTCACCAAAAAAAAAAAGAGCAAATGAACATGATACTTCTTATAGCACTCAACATGTGAATAATTCAAAATAATGAAATATATCATAGCAGCATGGCATTTAATACATTGTTACCCGAGTTCTATACGCTATCAACTTTTATACATCTCAATAATGGATGAAAAGATAATTTCAACACCCAAAACCCCTACCATGCTAAGATTATTTATGTAATAAAGATGTAATCGAATGCTACAATATTTAGAGGATCATTTATAAAAGACCTATATGAAAAATCTTTGGTTTAATATTTGGAATGTGCTTTAGATTACTTACCAAAAATTTACATACTTTTATAATTCTATCACATGTTAATCCTCTTATAAATAAAGAAAGCAATGTAAGGGTTCTGCGGTATTATGAAAATTGAAGCAAATTGCAAGTTTTCTCAGTGATTTGACTCCCCAAACCCTTTTTCTTGTGCCCTAATTATATCAAGTGGTATCAGAACCTAACTTCTTATTGATTTCACAATAACACCAATGCACTTCTCCTCCATCTCCCGCACACTGGATGCTCTACAACTAGACCTCACATTACAAGAGCCCCTACCTTACTCACCCAACCCCAACTCCACATTAACCTCTTCATGACCCTCACCGTCATGGAACCATATATCTACAGCTTTCATCAACACATGAACTGCCACCGTGCATCCAACCAATCACGATCCCTCCATTCATGTGACCTCCATAACCTCCCCGCCTTTGCCATATCTTGTGCTTCCCCATTCACAACTTCACCTCGCTGCTTCCCGACATGGATCTCCTTGTTCTGTAATGAGGGAAGCCATGAAGAATATGATATCCCTTTGAAGTTTTTGAGCTTGTGCTTTGTTTCCTGTTTTTGGTGTTCCTTTGAGCAGATGGATCCCTCTTCCACCGATCCACTACATCACGTGCCCTAATCAGCATCAACTAAGCAGCTGTTCAAGCTCAGTTTTCCATACTAGCAAGGCAAAGTAAAATGTGTACATTACTTCAAAAAAAAAAAAAAACATAAAAATCTTAAAGTCGCGGGTCAAATGAACGAACCTTCCAGCGCCAAAAAAACACCAGTATAGCATGCCCAAAAAATACAAGGGCAATTTTTCATTTAATTCCAGAATGCGCTCAAAGCACACCCATCTGAAGAATCATACGTGCTCCAAAGAAGCATAAATGCTCCAAGAAAACATAGATATGGTACAACTGCCCGAATAACTCAAAAGCAAGATATCTCGGAGGAAATTCGAAAACTTAGACAATAGTTCTTCAAAAAAAGTAAGAAAGGATGACTTAAAACGTCAAAAAACATAAAATTTCATCAACCATAACAATCGGAATCTTTCACCTCATCCCTCACACAGTCACACGAATACTGAAGATGAAAAGGAGAGATGTCGCTTACGGAGAGGTCAAGAGTGGAGAGAGATGAGAGGACTTGAGAAACCGATGAGCGAAGGGCTCTACAAACAGGGGCAGCCGAACAGAGAGATTCCACGTCGAGCATCGAAAGAATATCAAGCAATAGAGCGTGCGGCAGCCTCTCAACCAGATCGCCACCACCGACCTGCGCCATCATCAATCGTTATCTGCTCGCTGAGGCTTCGTTTGCGAGTCGCAGGTCCGTCCGGACTTAGAAATTAAAAAAATAATAATAGTAATTCCTGACCCGATGATCCGGTTCAGTTTCGAGAGAAATTATTGATGGGGGAGTTGGATGCAGAGTTATGTTCTAACTGTGAGTATAATTTAAACACAATTATATATTCAGATTTTGCACAGAATAATGTATTCAGATTCTGTGATAACTTAAAAAAAAAAAGTTTGTCGTTGTTCTATCCATTCACTTTGTCCCTTCGTTCACTTTTAAATTGTGGCATATAAAAAATGTTAGGGTTTGAAATTTGAAAAGTCTCTCTTCTCCATCAGTCTCTTTTCAGCTTTGAATAATGATTGGTCTGTCATTTTTTTCAAAGATTGTCCATCTTTGAAGGATATGTCTAGAGCTCTGCCTCCTTTCCCATCATTCCAGCGAGATCAGTTAAAGTTAGTGCGATTTTGCTCTGCTAGGATTTTCTCCTCTCGTGCTTTTTTTCTCTCCGCCGCCCTGAGGAGGACGCCTCGTCGAGATGTCCTCCTCCGCCGTCTTCCCTCCTTTGGCTTCCTCTACCACCTCTTTGGCACCCTCTGCCAAAGACCTTTTACACTGGAAGCTTCTTTTTTCTTCTCAATCCCCTGTCTCCCACGATTTCTCGAGCTCTTTAGCTCATCACCCGACAAAAAATTTTACGGCTCATTTCACTAAATCTCAGTTTGATGCTGGAGCTCCGGAGTGGTCGCTCTCTCTTGTCGGATATTCGATTGGCAGAAGACCCTTCTACAAAGCCCTTTTGTCTGTGATCAAGCGGACTTGGAAACTAAAAGGGGAGCTTTCTCTTTTAACGCTTGATGATGGGTTCTTTCTATTGAAGTTTTCTTCACCGGAAGATTATGATATGGCTTGGTCGGGTGGATCATGGTTCTTCTTTGGGAAGCCATTCATTCTACAAAAATGGTCGCCGGACTTCATTCCTATGCGTGAAGATTTTGCTACCATTCCTCTTTGGATAAAAATAAAAAATTTACCACTCTCTTGTTGGACCCCGGAAGGGATATCAAAAATTGCGAGCTGTGTTGGAATACCTTTGGCGGTGGATGCTCTCACGGCGGCCAAAACGCGCCTCACTTTTGCCCGGGTTTGTGTGCAGGTTTCGTTCTCTAACCCTCTACCTGACGAAATTTTCATTTCTGTTGATGGTAAGATCATGCCACTCTCTGTATGACTGGAAGCCATCCCCTTGCTCTTTTTGTGGTTCTATTTATCATAGCCCAGAACAATGCTCCAAGAACCCCAACCCTCAGCCACCTTCGACCCAAACCCAGCGTGCTCGGGGCCGTAGCTCAAGCAGAAATCCGAAAAAATCCCAGCCTCCACCTACAGCCATTCTTAAAAAACCTCCAATTCCACCATCTACTACTTCTCCTGACCCTCCTGTGCTTTCTACCAATGCCTCCTGTTCTTCTCTGCATATCCCAAACCTTAATTCTCCCCCGGGTGACTTGGGGCTTGTGGATATCCCCCCTCCTTCCATTGGTCAATCCCAGCCGGTTTTGCCACCTCCTGTCCTCCTCCCCATTAACAATAAATTCGACCTCCTTTCCGCTCATGCGGACGAATCTCTTGAACCTGAGACGGATCTTCCCAATTCTCCCTCACAAAACAAAATCACCACCAATTCTCCCTTACAGACCAACACCACCACTCCTCCTCAACCTACCTCCTCTTCACCTAATCCCACTATTTTGTTGGCTGACCAATCTTCACAGATACCTCAAAAGGCTTCCTCTGTCCTTCCTTCTGAAAATAGTCCTACTACCTCCAATTCCTGTTTTAGTACTAGTTCTGTCAAAGATATCCCGAGCACAAAGAATACCAGAAGCAAGAATGCCAAAAAAGCTGGCAACTCCAAATCAAAGCATAAATGACTTATCCTCGCATGGATTCATGGAATATTAGGGGGTTTAACTGTCCCTCTAAAGTTTTGTCGTGCAAGTCTTTGGTTTCTAAATTCAATTTAGATATGGTGTTTATTTTGGAAGCGAAAGTTTCCTCTACTTCTGTCTCTGATAATTGGTTTAACTCCTCTCACTCTGTCTTCCCGGTTGAAGGTTCCTATAACAATTTTTCTTATTCCACTCCTGATCGCATTTGGATTAAGTGGAATGCTCAAAAAGTCACTTTTACTCCTATTTTTACCTCTAGCCAGGTAATTCATGGAGTTGTTAATGATGGTTTTCAAAATGTCTGTTGTATCTCCATTATTTATGCCTCAAATTATGTTGAAGAAAGGCAAAAACTTTGGAAGGATGTCTCGAACTTGGTTAATCTTTCCCCTCTGCCCTGGGCTATCTTAGGAGATTTTAATTGTTGCCGTCTCTCTTCTGATAAAGCTGGGGGTCATCCTTTGTCTAACAGTAAGCTTGGAGAACTTAACACCTTCGTATTTAATGTTGCTATGTCAGATTTGGCTTCGGTTGGGCATTACTACACTTGGCATAATCAGAGGATTGATAATCCTATTCATATTAAGTTGGACAGGGTGTTTGTGAATGACAATTGATTGTCTTCTTTTCCGAACTCTTACTATATAGTTAGTGATCCAGATATTTCTGATCATTGCCCTATCATTCTTAATCTGGACTCTATCACTAACAATAGTAAGCGCTTCATGTTTAAGAACTACTGGAGCAAATTACCTGCGTTTTGGAATGAGGTTCTTAAGGTTTTTTCCCTCCCGACCTCTGGCAGTCCTATTTGTGATCATAACCATAAACTTAGGGAGCTTAAATCCATTCTTAAGCAAAGAAATTGGAATTGCCCTATCATTCTTAATCCAAAGGTTTTCCTCCTATCTTTATTTCTTGGATTAAAGCTTGCATCTCTGATATTCATTTCTCGGTTTCTATTAATGGATCTCTTCAAGGATTTTTCAGCTCCACTTCAGGTCTTCGCCAGGGATGTCCTTTATCACCTTATCTCTTCACTATTGTCATGGATGGTTTATCTGAATGTTTTGAAGAAGCTAACAACCTGAAATTTTTCTCTGGCATCCCTTGGGGTAATTTTGCTGCTACTCATCTCTTATATGCTGATGACTTACTTGTCTTCTCCAAAGCTTCTCTGGATGAGGCCTCTTGTCTGAAAGAAATTCTTGGGAGATTTGCGGCTTCTTCTGGTCTCAATATTAACCCTGCCAAAAGCTCAATACTCTTTTCCAAGAATTGTCAGTTGGGTGAGGCGATATCTGATCTCCTTAACATTCCTCAAACTGACAGACTATTAAAATACCTGGGGTTCCCTATATTTTTTAAACAGCTGTCCCACACTGATTATCAGCCTCTCATTATGAAGGTTACTAAGGCTTTGGAGGGTTGGAAAGTCAAACTGTTATCTTTTGGGGGAAGAATCCAATTCCTGAGATTTACTATCTTCAACACTATCGCATATTGGATTAGGGGCTCTATTCTTCCAAAGTTTTGTCTGAAAATCTTAAACAAACTTTGCTCTAGGTTCTTATACGGTAGAGACATTGCTGCCAGGAAACTTCATCTTATTGCCTGGAAGGATACTTGTCTTCCTAAGGCCAATGGTGGGCTGGGATTACCTTCTCTTGATTCATTAGCTTTTAATTTCAGTTGTTCCATGATCATGAGATTCTTAAATGATAAAGGGTTATTGTTTTCTTGCTGGAGAAATTTATATGTCTCTCTTTGGTTTCCTATTCCAAAAAGATGTTCCCCTTACTGGAAACATATGAGCCATATTGCCCTCCATATTAAACACTGCTTACAGCTCCAAATTCAGCCGAGCTATTTTTTTTCCTTAATCTGGGATCCTTGGTGCTTTGGTAAGTCTCTTATGGATTTAAGAGACACGAATTCTGATTATAGTTGGCTGGAGGCTTTTAAATATACTGCATTATCTACTATCATATGTAACGGGCAATGGACTGTTCCGGATGGTTGGCCTCTTAATATTAAAAATTTGATACTTTCTGTGCCCATTTTGGTTACGGAAACCTCCTGTCTTTGGCACAACTCTGCTAAAGTATCAAATAAACATTTTACTAAAGAATTCTTTAGGCAGCATCCGGTGGTGAGTTGGCACCGTTTCATTTGGCACAAGCATTCTTCGATAAGATTCTCATCTTTTGGTTGGCTTGCTATGAAAAATGGGTTAAAAACCTCTGATAACCTCATATGTCGTGGTCTTCAGATTAACCCACGCTGCATTTTTTTTCATGACTGTAGAGATACTATCACTCATCTTTTCTTTGAGTGTGATTTCTCTTTTGGTATTTTGAACCTGCTCATCCCTCAGTCTCAAACTCTTTTACTAAGGCCCAACCTTTATCAGATATTTGATTTTATTGAAGATATTGCTGAGACTAATGATATGTTGTACTTCTATTGTCTGCTGATTAACGCCTCCATTTATTACTTATGGAGAGCTCGCAATGATAGAACTTTTGGCAACATCCTGGAATGTCAAACTACGGTGGCTATTAAAATTAAAAAGGCTCTGTTTCTGAAGCTGGAGAATTGGAAAAATGGCTGTAATCTCAAACACCTATTGGCTTGACTTCTTTGAGGTTATTTACTTTGTTTTGGGAACATCTGTTGACCTCGATTTTGCCCAGACCCTTGGTCAAAGGGTTGACTTGGTCAAATAGACCAAGCCAGACCCCAAGACCCTCTCCAATGGGTTCAGTGAGTCGAGTCGAGTCTGTTGAGCCCGGGCTTGGACCCTGGGTCAACCCGGTTGACCAAGTCAACCTAGGTTGACCACATAGCCCATTAAGAGCCCAAATCACTTTTAATCAAATTCAATCTCTTACATGGCTTAATCCAATGACTCCCTTAGCTTTCTTGACTGATTTGACCAAGTCAATCATTGACTTGGTCAAGCTCCATTTCCTCTACTACGCCGATTCGTTCAACTTCTGATTTGGTCGGGAGTTTGCTGGATGGCTGGATTGCTGAAAAAAAATTTTGGAACGTCCGGGATCAGTTATATTCCTGGCTGGTAGTTATAATTGACGATTTTTGCAGGACGATGATGACCGCTGCAGCAAAACCCCTTGGAGGGCCATTTATGGCAACCAGGGGTTAT